TAATGTTTTTTTATTGAATCAAAGTGAGTTATTTTACTCTTTCTTTATTAGAATGTAATACCATTTTTATTATTTTAGCGATTCCATGAAATAAAGTGTTTTTCTTTCAGAAAAAAACATTTCCAATAAACTAGAGGAACTTTCGATATAGATAGCACAATAGACAAACGTGTTCGTTTAAATATTTTATAATTTTACTGAAACGCGTTATAATAAATATCACAGGGTTACACACCTCATAGTACTCTAAAGCTTTGTTTTAAGTAGTAAACTATGACTATTACATCGAAACGGAACGATAGCGAGAGAAGGGACAATTTATGAGGTGGGGAGTAATTTCTAAACAGGCAGCCATCGGTTAAGTTAGAGAGAGGGAAACCAAGTAAAATGATATTTACATAATAGGTGTTGAAGAGGAAACATAATTTTATCAGCGAATACGAGACTTTACACTAAAAATGACAAACCTATGAAATTAGTAAATAACGTACGTTATAGTGAGCATCAGTGCAATCAGATTACATGACATTAAATTATGTTGAGAATAGTTGTACAAAGTATATGAAAATATAATTGGAATAATAGTATCAACAATTTAAAAACTGTTTAAACCGTTTCTAGTATTTTTACATAATGTAATATAATATACTAAGTGGACGTACAACTTTTTATGATTCTCTGGGGACAATTCTTTAAAGGCAAAACAAAGGGCAATATTTAAAATTGTATATTATATTTTTTTACTCTGAGGCATAGTATAGCGTTGTTTATTGATATATTATATAATACCGGTCTTCGAGAGAGACTAATGCATTTTCTAAAATTCCTCGAACACCACCCGGATACTTGGTATTCGTGACGACGACGACGACGAACAGTAGACGTCCGACCATTTTTGGACGTGGGTTATTTGTGGTCGGCGGTGATCGAGGAGGAACGGTAGAGAGGTTTTGAAAGGGTAGCTGAAAGGAAACGAAGAATATGGAAGTAGGGAGTAGGGTCAGGTTGTGGGGCGGCTAAACAAGTGCGTGTGTGTGTGCATGATTTTCTAGAATTCAGACGCAGAATATGAATATATCATGAGTTTGACCAATGGTTGGCAGGAAATAAGGACGACGCAAATGAAAGCATTGAAAGCCACCTTCAGACCACTGTCGACCTCAATACAATATATGTATATATATATATATATTAATATTATATATTATGTATGCATAAACGTCCCGGCTTATTATTATTTAGAAGAATAACTGAGTAGGTTAGGTATAGAACAGCACTCCGCCGCTATATATACCTATCATAATACGATAGCATGTCCTTATACCTCCCTGCAGTTATTAGTTTTTATAGATCAATACTCCTCCCCACCGCCATAGTCATGGTCGCCGTCGTCGTCGTCGTCGGGGATATCTATTTATGTTTTATTAAACGGTAACGAGGTATTCGCGTGACACGCAGACGACCCTTATTCGGCCTTCGATGACCAAAGTCCTAGACCCCCCCCCTCACCATAAACAATAAAGAGGCACACCGTCGGCTGTCGCTCGTCCGCGGTGGGGTTTATGTGCGAAATTATGTGCACTATAAACAACGGCACACCGCCGAACCGCATTAAAATATTTAGATTGTCCGGAGACGCTGGCGGAACACGTAAAACGGTTGATTAAGCGCGCGACGGGTCGCGTAGTCGTGTGGGTATACCGAATAAATCGTACGCAACGGCAGTCCACAGCACGCGGTGGGTTTCTGCGGAATTTAGACGGATTCACGTCTAATTGGCTGCTGCCGTTCATCAATTATTAGGCACCCTAAGAGACTAATTCAAATTATTCCTCTTGTGAAAGCGCGGGGGCGCGAGCCACTGATGGAGTTTGTGGTTTGCGTTTGTGTTCCTCGAGCGAGGATTTACGAGGTGCGCACTTGTGAACGCTCCTCTTACGTTTCCACTCACTCGCCTTATTATTACTCCCTCCGCGGTTCGCACCCCCCCCCACCCAACGGCGCCTGGTTGGTCGCATTATATACGGTGAGCTTCGTGTCCGCTCGTGTTCGTTCGTTTTAATTTTTAAACGCACCTGACGTGTACCTACGGTTTAATGTGGCGCATCACCGTATTATAACGATGAAGGCCGAGGGCGATGTAAGACTGCGCAGTGATGAACAAAACGTTTTTTTTTTTGAACAATATCACCCACGGGGCACAGACAGGTATATACCTACGTGCATATTACTTCGACTTGAGCAACAAAGCGAGTTTAAAACCGCATACCGCACATCGATCAAAACGGTTTTCGCGTCACTACTCGGATTTATTACCATAGATTTTTTCTGCGCCGTAGTTATTATTATTTTTTATTAGTCAACTTCATTTTTTTTGTTTTTTTGCTGTTCCGCTTCCTTTTTTTCTTTTCCTTAATACACGCCCTATATAATAATCGTAAACGAAACAAGAACGGTTTTCCGTAGATTTGTTTATTTTCGCGTTTTATAAAATTGTTCACAGCAATCAAACGAATACCATGCATGAAGGACAATATGTATACCTAACCAAACGAAAAATGAAAATAATTTCATGTTGATCAGTATTTTTCAACCATCGCCGTTTAATTAAGGCTTATATTAAAGTGTGCTCGATGATATTGTTTGTTTGCTTACATAAAGTCGAATTCACTCGGACAGGACGCGGTCTGATAATATGTATTTTCAGCACTTTGAATCGGTCAGGTTAATTGGTTTTGACTTTCGTTTTTCTCCTTTACCAATAACCGCCTGCATTTTATTATGCCCCCGTCAATTCAAACATTTTACAGGGATTTTGCGTCAACCTCAATTACTTCCTGTCGTCGTAACAGTCAGGGCTCGTGAATACCGAATCCGAAGGATTCGGAGGTACGTTTACACACGGAATGAAAAGGTTTCACGGCGGATTTTTGACGCGAAACCCAAAAGCGATCGTTTTCAATCGACGAACACGACGTTGCAGCAGTGTAGGGGAGAATGGTGGGCCGTGCAAAATAAAATATACCGTCGGAGACCATTGAATACAAATGAATTTACAACCGGTATACCTTAAGATTAGTAAATATTGGATTCCCCTGTCAAAGGAAATGAGGAAAAAAAGTACCTTAACAACTGTCTACATTTTAAAAAGCGATAAGGGTATAATACGCTGAACATCCTGAAGATCGATTTTCGACGATGTTGTCACAAGTCACGCGAATATGTTGGGCTAAAAATAAAATAATTTTAATATGATACATGACTTACGTCGAACTTACCATGTACGTACGATCAATAACTATTATCATGATCATATAGTTGAAAATTTCACTAACATGACGTGTTGTTTTTTCTCCTCACTATATATTTCCGACCGGAAACGTTTTGAAATATATTTCACTCATTGCAGGTGGACAACACTGCTGTTATTTTAACGCTACAGTCGGTTACCTTTGCGCCATTGTGTGTGAGTGTGTGTACATAGTGTACACCCAATGCCCCTTTTGCAAATAAAACCAGCCAAAAGTTTAATATTCTGAGTAAAACCAACCTTTGTTTAACCGTATACGTATATATATAAGTTCGCACCTCTTTGATTACACACAGCTCAAATTTAATGTAAATACGCCTGTTATTATATGTGCAAACCAAACCCGAAAGAGAGCGCGATTATGTACGTTTCGCGTGCATTTGTTTTGGGAAAGTTCATAAGGATATTTCGAGATTAGACGCGAGACTATATTATAATAATATGTACTTTGTAAACACATTCCGAGAGCACGATTAATAATATACCACGCAATATTTGTCGATTTCAAAATCAGAGTTTGTTCAGATCGATTAAACAATATACGCCTATATAGGTATATAGCAGCAGGTATTGGATTCCATTTATAATCATTACCCGTCATGATTAGGTATTATGATTATTATTAAATTTAATTGATTTTGTTCATCGTGATTCTTTAGTGCTGTACTATACACAATTACAGCTAAAATTAAACTACTGGTAAATGATTATTTCAACACCTCACAACCGCGATATTCATTAGACAAGAATAATGCGAATGTGATAATAATTCATTGTTATAGTGGTTAATACAATATCATATCAGTTAAACATGTAATTAAATATTTGATTAAACACAAGGAATCGCTATTGTATAAGTTCAAAGTTATTTAGGTCACAAGACATTATGACACCTTTTCAGTCGTATTGTTATTATTATTTTTACCATCTAGGTACCTTCTGTACAGTGTTCTTCAGTCGTGACTTCATAGTTCAAAATGATATAGTATGATATTGTAGTCTTGTCGAATAAGACTCTGTTGCATCATTACGCTTACATCGATTGATATCAGATGAATATCACTTGATTAACTCGTTAAGAACAACATCACGCGCCATGGTTGGCATGTGCATGAATGAATACACCCCATACTCGTCGTAGATAATAATATATTGTATTAAACTCATTAAGTTACCCCCTTTAAAAACCCCTGGAGGAATTTCTCCCCCGTTTTAGACGTTCCGTTGACGGTTAAGAGCAGCAGTATAATAAATAGTAATAATACATAATAACGATATTATGCTGTTGTTAATCTTCGGATGATGACGATGTGCAACGATTGGCTTTCAGAGGAATATTATATAAAAAAACACACGCACGCCCTCAAACACACACACGACGCAAATATTAATATCGTGTTATGTGTAATAACACGAATTTGCATATTATTATAATATTATATATCCGGCACGGTCCCCTTCTCGATTCAGAAATCACTAAAACGAATATACCGCCGCAGAATAATATGCCGGACGGAGCTGTATATCAACCACACAATTTATAGTATATTATATGATGATGATGATGATGATGACTCTGGGATAGAGTACCTGCGCCGTAATGAATTATTGTCCATTCGCGTATTTTTGCCGTCGTTTTGAACACGTCTTCGTACATAGAGCGACGGCGCTAACGACGGGTGGCAAACGTTTAATGGAAATCTCTCCTACCCTGCACCGTCTCATCGCAGCCGCTTCTCGATTTCTCATCCTTCCGTGTCCCTATGTTTATGGAACGCAAGTCTCCCGGGGACTCCGACGAAAATTCTTGTTTGTGGTGCTGACTCCTCTGGCATTGAAACCCTCCCGTACAGCAACCGCGGAGCTTAGAGCTCTGAGCAGATGAAGAGTACTGATTTTTTTTCCAACCTCCTTTGTTGTCGTTTGCCATTCTCGCAGATTCATCAAATAATGTAAATACTCGGTATGGTGTAGTTTGATTTCTTATAGCAAGTCTACTTTTTTCCGAGATCGACTACATTTAATTTTTATGTACCTATATACAGGGGTATTTGCCCACTAAAATACGTGCAAGCGCATAATAATATGTAGAGAATAAGGTTAGGTAGGTTGCCGTTGAAGCATTTAAATTAAATTCTTATACTATTAATCTTGCGGCACGTAATTCGTTCAGAAACAAAAAAAAGTGTATGCCACCGGTAGGTACCTAAAGTTATTTCTCTCTAATTAATTTCACTTTGTGTTTCCGTTTTAACATGGTTTTAATTTTTTGTTGTTAAATTTGAGTTTCAAAATTGTTGACTGATAAACCATGATTAAATATTGTTATTTTTGGTTTTAAATTGGTGTATATATAATATATATACATAATATAGATATGTCATATCTCCTTTTTGCAGGTTCTTTTGATTCGAAATAAGTTTTTTTTCCCCGGGAACCCGGACTTTTGAAGCTATTGAAACATTTATGACGAACATGACGTTTTGTTCCATTCGTCGTTTTCCATTGCATTCGAATAATATTATGATCCTTTTTTCCATTAGGCGTCCCCATTGCCATTGCGACGCATATGCACAGAGAAACTGCCTCGTATTCGCAGTGGGCATAATTAAATTAGTGATTAATAATGCTTTACATATATACAGCAAAGAAACCCGGGCTGGGTAAGTTTTAGCTGAAAGCCCTCGAGAGCTGCGACGACGACGACGACGACGACGACGGGTTATGACGGACATCGCCGAGCGGCAATCCCTTTTATTCGATTTTCTCTATGGTGTTCATGTCCCCGTTCAAAAGCATTCCGAGCCACTTCACTTGTATTATGCGGCGACGGAGCATTAGCTCCAAATACATGTATATAGGTATTATATTGTATTCACGTGCGTCTCGTCTCGCTTACATTATATCCCCGGGATTTGTCCATGCAAATGCCATGCCTAAGTAAAAACATTGGATTATAAGTCCACACCGCCGCCGACGTCGGGGGATGTGAATAACCGGTAGTCTAGAGGGAGCTGAGCGGAAAGAGAACGGGCTGTGCGTATTTCCCGAAAACCTATCTTTTGTTTTCCCGATTATAATATCGTTCCCTTCTCGTGAGTTATTATTACTATCGTCATCGGAGTATATTCATATTATAACCTATATAAGGTTCGCGTGTTCGGTATTTTGTTATAATATCGAGGTGGCGAATGTACCTAACGGTGCTGCGGCAGGACCAGAATCAGCAGTATATTGCAACGTTTTGGGTAATTTGTTGATTTTGGACACAGCGGCAAGTGTTGTTGGAACTTTGCCGGCGCATATATACAAACTCACACGGGCGAATTGTATAATATACTATATATCTATATATCATACGTTACCTATACAGTAGTAGTGGTAACAGCGGTAGCGGTGGTAGACACTGGTGGGAGGAGCGGTGATGGCGGTAGGAGTACGCATTACGCACGATGTGTGCGGTCGTCGTCGTTTGGATTTTCGAGAGGCAGAAACGGAATAAGCGATAACGCGTATTACGGTAGTAAAATTGATAACGCAGCGGTGTATGCACCTATTATTATTACGATATTATTTTATTGTAATAGTCGTACACGAAAATCTACATCAGCCGCAGCTAGTATACTACCGAAGCAGCAGCTACACTATAGCCACGAGCTATATTATACCTATACGGTTTGTCCTATCTGTGTATTATATTAATATATTGATATTAATATTATCATTATGACTCCGACGCACGTTGCCACCTCGTCGCTACTCATACATCGTGCTCGAAATGAAAAATATCGAATATCCAATTACGCGATCCCGAGTGGTATATACCGCATTAATAACGGTCCGGGGAAACGGTTTTAATTGGGACGACCGACGAAATACAATACAATATAATATAATAATAATAATAATAATAATAATAATAATATATTGTATATAAACGAAAATCCGCTCTCGATGGTTTAGTGCAGCGTGTGTTGTGTTGTGCAGGCACCTCTGCTCGACCGCGTACTGAATAACATTTTTTATTCCTCGTATTAATATTGTATTATAATATGATTACGACGAGTAGGTAGGTACAATTCAATAATATGTAAATGGACGAAAAAAATGCAATAATAAACGTTTCCGCGTCAGAAACCGAAAACCGTAGTCCGGCAATCGCAAACGACCGCGGTTTATAATATTTTACATACATTATTAAGCATTTTTGTGCCCACATAATAATATTAATAATAATTTTTTTTTTTTTATATAATACTACATATTATATTCACCGAGAGGAAAAAATGTTCTAATGCCATTATCTTATATATAACTAAAATATTAATAATTTTATCATAATATTATATACTCTTGCAGCAGAAATATGAAATCAGTTAAAGTATTAATATTTATGAAAACCTATAATATGTCAAACTAACTTTAATTTGTTATGCATATTTTATATTTTGTTCTTGAAGCAACCAAGTTGTAAAGTTTTCTTTATAAGAATTTTTAAAGGGATACTATATATTATGATCAATGTCCAATGGTGATACATTATAAGATATTATTCGGTCTACCTACTTAAGTTGTTTGTGCTAGTTTCTATGCACGGTTGGTACATTGATATTAGATAATGGTCTAGTATTATGATAATATTTTCCATATTCAACTTTGAGAGTGAGATCATCATATTTGATAATGTAAAGCTTTGAAAAATTTTGTTCACTGGTAGTATACATTCATTCGTTGCATAGAGGTATTTTGTGTGATATCTCTAGTCGTTTTTTAAAATAATTTTTAATATTCATTTTTATTTTTTTTTCAATACGTCTATCATTTTTTTATATTTATAGGTGTCCGTGTAGAAATTTCAAAATGATTACAGATTATATTAATACTTGATTCATTACTATAATTTACTCGAGTTCTAAAATGCCGCAGTTAGATTTTTGAAAGTATACATTATTTTTGCTAATTTATTTGTATTCGTTAATCATCGTATGATAATAATTTAATGTTGTTACTGTTGTACGACGTCTGTGCCTAAACTCTGTACATACACCAAAAATCATCCGACCTTTGATACGCCGTTAACACGCGACGCGAAGGAGCGTTGGTAGTGGTAATAGTATATGGTCCACGAGCGTAATTGTTTCATTTTCGAACGCTAATTAATTTTGAATGAAAAAAAATATCTATAAATATTATTATAGGTACCACTCCACAATATTATATTAATTTATACTCCGGACAATCAATGCGGACGGTGGTGGTGTTGCGATTAAACATCGTGTCGTTTGTCAGAAAATATATATAAAAGAGGAAAATGATTGCTCTCGTCGATGCTTTAGGTCCACGATAATATTAATAAAATATTATAATATGATAATTAATATAGCTGCAGAGCGAGCGGCAATGACCGTGTTGGACGATGTAGCCGTATTACGTAGGTAGATACATATTATATTGCGTAGCCATATTTAGTCCAAATCCGATTCGTTCACACTCGCGCCAAACGTTTTGCAAGCTCATCAGAAGCGTCAAATCGGTGCGCAGTACGCATTTAAATTGTAAATTCGATGGCATAGCGCACACGTCATGTTGTAATAGTGACATTATCGGATAATCGTATAACTGTTCAGGAGAACGATTTCAAAGTTCAAACTGTTATTACAATTCAAAAATCTAACTAACTGTCGTGAAAGTTGTATTATATAATATTATATTATTTACTTAGCATAATATTACTACAATGAGTAGGTACCTAATTATTAGGATTAGGTAAATATGATTGTACTACTCTAGACAAATTTAAAAAAAAATCTGTACTTAACACAAGAGTATTGATAAAAACAATTTTTTCAAAAAGATTTTACTTAACACGTTTGTATAGGTAAAAATTAATTATAATAAAAATATTTTATTGGCTATTTCTAGATACATTTTAGTAAAATTACAATAAAATAATAGACTCGCCACTGCAGAGGATAACCTCTTATTGGTTCAATTAGAGTACCTACTTCTAATAATAATAACAAATAAGAAAGATAATATAGTCAATATAGACATAAAAAAAAAATAGTTAACCTAAACACTTATCACATTTTGCTTCTATTCTCAACAAAGAATAACTTCAATAATGTCCTAAATCCTAATATTATAACTGCTTTACATTATATTATAACAAATTAAATTTTAAAAATATATACAAATTATAAAAAAATATCACAACTTATTTCATTCAGTATTTTACAATGAAATAATACTTTTTAAATAAAACATTTTATAAAGAAGGTAGTGACCCTTTGTCATAAAATTATTATTATTATTTAGTAAAAACATAATAATAAATTAAGTAATTTTATTAAAAACAAATAAAACTCAACATTTTTAAATAGAAATAATATTTTAAAAAAATTATGAAAAGATAACTCAATTTATTAATTATTTTATAAAATTACTGTCAACTTCTATTGTTATCTTCATATTATTTTTTTAATTTTTAATTTTATTTTTGTATTAGTGACACTGCCCGGTGATTGCACTCAGAACACGTTTCGTTACTAAATGCAAACACCGCGCCACTAAATATTTTATTATCCAACATTTTATGATGTTGGAATTTCATACAATAGGTATACAATAATATATTACCTTTTTCCTCAGGATTCAATATTGTCATAATGCGCGTTTCAGAACAAATACATTTTCGGTTGTCCCGACAGGTAGGTTACTCGTGTGGAATGATGTTATTCTTGTTCGTTGTTTTTCGATTTTTATCTCACGAAAATACCATGAATCTCGATAACGCGCGGGCTACCGTTCGGCAGTCGCAGGACGTGTTGCGGTGCCAGATAAGCTAATTAAATCATAATTAACACAGTACCTACATAATACCATAAGAATATATCATAAGAATATAGTACGACCGTCGTAAAACCGTAA